CCACTTGTTCAAATGCAACAGTAGTATGCCCGGCAACCCTTATCAAAGGATGCTTCATCAGATGCTCCTTCAAAATCGGAAGTCTTCAGTATATAAGTAGTATGCGAAGGATTCTTTCCGAGTATCATGCGAACAGGTATGAAAGCTGGCTGTTCCTCATGTAATGTAGAGAAGGAATGGAGAAAGTGGCTAACTTCTAGATACCTTTCCACAGACTTAAACAAGACACCCTTACGCCACACATTACAAAGATCACGCTGTTTCAGGCCTTGTTTTGACCTCCTATCTCTAGGCCAAACACAGACATGCACACTGACTCTTTGATTTACTACCTTGAATTCCAAGCCCAAAAGAAACACAATAAAATACCTGACCTAGAAACCTCCGGACACTCGGAGGAGGTCGGCGGCGTCAAAGCTCACAATTTCTGCGACACACCCACACTAACCCCCCTTCCACACACACCACACACACACACACCCACGCACGCACGCGTGCTCAACACACACAAAAGGGCCGCCGCTTTTTATGTCTTTTCTCTTTCCTTGCTTGTCTATGCTTTCTGCGGCGTCTTTGCCAGACCATGACTTGCACCGGCTGGTGCTGGTGACGGCGTCCACACGCGCGGGTTCCCGCTGCTCGCGCGGGCTTGCCGCGCGTGCGCGGGTTCCGCGCGCTTGCGCGGGTTCCGCGCGTTGAGGGCCGCTTCTTTTTCTGTCTGTCTCTCATTCCTTGCCTCTCTGTTCTTACTGCGGCTTTTTTCCCAGTCCATACATGGCTCTGGGTGGTGCTGGGGATTGAAAAGTGGCGCGTGGAGGCGATGCGTGGGGGGGGGAGGGAAGAAAGAACCCAAAAAACTGCAAAGCCGATGCCATTCCAGACTGGTTTCAGACCGGTTTCAGACACTGTACGGGCCCCCTAACGAAAGTCGCATTTGGCTGTACAGCAGGGGTAATCCACTGCGCCGTATCCAGCCCGTAGGATGAAACGCAGGGTAGAAGTGAAGTGAGGGGGGCAATAGAAGTAAGAACAATAGTAGTAGTAGAAGTAGTAGCAATACTAGTAGCAATAAGAATAGTAGTGGTAGTGGTAGTGGTAGTGGCAATAGTAGTAGTAGTAGTAGTAGTAGTAGTAGTAGTAGTAGTAGTAGTAGTAGTAGTAGTAGTAGTAGTAGTAGTAGTAGTAGTAGTAGTAATGGCGTCAGTGGAAGTAGTAGTAATAACAATCATTGTAGAAGTAAAAAAGGTACACGAGTAGGCCTCTTCCGCCCGCCCTTGCGCCTGCTTCCGCGAACGTCGGGTTTTGACAATTCTACTCTGGGGTTTATTTTATCGAGTTTCCACTTTAGACTAAAGTCAAGAGACGGGGTTTAAAAACAACCCCCAGAGGCCCATGTTGCTTGGTGCAGACTGTATCGCACCCAAGAAACTCAACACACGTGTCCTCGTGCTGCTGGAAGGTACATTCTTCCATCAAGCTGCAGTTGGCTGAGTCCAGAAATAAGTCGCTCGCCCTGACCCTGAAGGGGGCATCGGAAGGGCCCAGGACCAACTCCGAAATGTTCATCCGTCGCCCGTCCAGGGCTACACCCCGGGCTTGCTGTATCTCCAAGCGCTGCAAGGTGGCAGGCGTGTCTCTCGCCATCAGCAGCACGCTGCCCCGAGGTGCGGCCACGGAGGACGCCTTCAGAACGCCCCCAATGTCCAGCTTTCGCTTTGCCTAAGGAGTCTTCGGCTCGGCGAGTTGGTGTTGCTAGTTTTTGAGCTTTGTGGGCACAGCTCGTCATATCCGAAAGGTCGACAGTGTCATGTCTTAAGAAAAAAGAAAGCAAAAACCGTTGGGTGGTTTATGTTGACAAAATCAACAACCTAAAAAGCCAAACTAACAAGCAACCGAGATTCAAAAAGGCATCCGCCAGATTCGGCTGTGCAATTGCGGCAAATCAGCTGGCCTGACTTCGACTGGTGTAGTACTTTGGCATAGCCACATCCGCCGCCTGCCATCGTTTAGCGGGGCCGATCCACAAAACACATCTTGAAAGCCCGAGCCCTTTCCGGAATCCCTTCCGAAAATACAGAACCAAATGAACAAGCTCCTGCACCCACGTCGAAACTTGATGAGAAATCAACCCTAGGTTCCCCCTTTTAAAATAATGGTTGGTCCAATTTGGATGATGACAATCCTTTGGTAAACGATGATGGTTGTATAAATCCCCATTATGTTTTGATGGTGGTTTGAACCGCAGGGTGAAAGCTTGGTGAAGGTTTGAATTGGGGAGCCTAGCGCCCTTCCTTTGCCCTTAAGTGAGTCATGACAACGTGGAAAGGTCACACCCCCGGCCTTTCTGAGTCCTGCAGCTTTCAAACGAAAGGTTCCCACTCGCGGTCGTTTTCTGCAAATACGCGCAACCTGAGCCGAGCGTCGCGCGTCGCGCAGCGCGCTGCCCCCTTTGGAGCGGATCCGAGGAACGAGGCTCGTCATGTACTGCCAAAAGTTGAGTGAACATCTTCAGGTTAAACCTATGCCCTTCAAAACTGTGAGCCTGATACAAAATGAAGTCAAACAACATCCATTTGTTCATGCTTCCCGGGAAAACACACTATTTCCAGCCGTGATACGTGTCCTTTTAAAACCAAACAGGGCAACTCATAAACGCAAACTCCAGCAAATGGCGCAGGGCCAAGCTGCCGCCATGCTTCCGCGCAACGCCGTCGACGAAGCGCATGGAACCAACTCGATCTTGCGCCAAGGACTGCGCAGCGAGGCCTGCGGCGAAAGTGGCGGTCTGGGCTTTCGCGAAGCCCGTGGGAACCAACTCGAGGAAAAGCGCACCCATTCCAACTTGTCTCATTCTTTGGAGGAAAGCTTCATTGGGAACATGGTCTTCAGAACTGGGGTCCTTCCGCAAGGTGAAGACAACTTGAATATAGTACTTCTTGCGTTGCCTGGCTCCAACACTGGTGTTGGCGCCCCGGCCTCCTCCTTTTCCAGCTGCCACGCAATGGATGAAGCGCGCCTCTCCTGCCCTGGCGCGCGGGGGTCAGCCGCAGGCTTCCGGCTTCAACTTACATGCCGTTCTTGCCAAAAGTTAACGGGAATCCGAGAGGAACAATTTTGGGGCTTCGACACTCGAGTAGTGTTCTGGTCTGCCGGTGGGGGGGCAGGGGGGTTATGCCATCCTAAAATTGTTGCATTGCGTGAACAAAAACGGCGGAATGCAGTTCTGGTGTGACGTTCCGCCCTTCAGCAAGCCCGTGATCCTCATGTTGAGCTGTTCAGCCATTCCGCCATTTGCGGCCGACGTTCAGCCTTTCAGCCAACCAGGCCGATTCAGAAATTTTAAGGCTTGGCTCATAACCATGTGCAAGAAGACGCGATCCCCTGCTACAGTACTGTCTGGAGCAACACATGCTGCCAAATGACCCCAGCATTGCTGTTCTGACAAGGGAATGCACGCCAGCCAAAATTGCGATAAGCACGCCCACATACATCTCAGCCACCCACCCACACACCCACCCACCCACCCACCCACCCACCCACCCACCCACCCACCCTACCTACCTACCTACCTACCTACCCACCCACTTACCCACCCACCCACCCGCACGCCCGCACGCCCGCACGCGCACACACAAACACACAGACACCCACCCACCCAGGCACGGCACACATGCACGCACACACACACTTGGTGCTTGGCTGCCAAATCTATGTCAAGAACTCAAAGGCTTCTTGCCGGCGTTTTGTTTCGGACTACCCTTGCTGCCCTCCAATGACAAACTCTTGGAATGTGGCACGACTGTGGGTTGCTGGAAATGACGCGCGCCCACCTCTGGTGCACAGTGGTCACCTGCGCGCATCCGCCGTTGCCCAAAGTAGTTCCCCCGTCGAAGTTCAGGAAGCCGCCCTGCGACAGCGAAGTGAATTCAATGTCAATCATCCAGGTTTTCATGTTAGCCTTGCTATTGTGTTCAGCAACACATTGAGATTGAGAGAAACAAGCCCTCTCGACGTGTTGGAAAAACGAGGAGGGTTGGCCTGCCAGGGTATGGGCATTCCAGGCGACTACGTTCTGCAAGGTGCTTGCGCTGCGAGATAGGTATGAATATATGGGTAATCTGTGCCAACTCTTCTTAAGCGGTGCCTCCCAGAAGACTAGAAAACAACCTGAGATCAAGTAGTTTCACAGCTGGCCGCCCACTTTAAACAGTGTTTTTCGCGCCTTCTGTTTTCACCAAGCCGGAGCTATGCCCAGGACCCCCAAGGCCAGTTCAAAAGAAGTCCTCGGTTCTGTGGTGAGGGTAGCACGGCCATGAAACGATGGCAACTTGACTTCGGGAGCTGAGAAGTGGCATGTCCGCCATGCAGGCTTTAACGAGAGACACCTCGACAACTCATCCCGAAAGAACTGCAGAGTTGTAAGTGCGTTGGGGGCTGCACACCCACCGTCTACACAACATGCTGACGAGTGCAGAGCTAACCGAGACCACAGTCAGACCAGACTCCGACTAGACTCCGCTTGAGGCTCAACCAAGGGGGTAACGTCATCAAACGTGTATGGCTTCCCCAATCCGTGTTTAAAGCCACAGTGCAAGGCACCAGGTTCAAAACTCAGCCAATCCATCCCATGCACCTCCATGACCAGGGAGCCGGCGTTCAGGCCTTCCAGGCGCGGAGCGAGTGCCATAATTTACACCCCCTTTGAGAGAGGAAGGAACATTTAACAACCCATCTTTGGCATCCAGTGGAAACAACTATTGGCCAGCGACCAGTTTTTGGATGGAAACCGAAAACGTAAAACAAGCCACGCCAAGGCATCTGAGAGCCCAAACAAATCTGGCACAGCCACGCCAGGCGGGTTTGTCTCATATCTACAAATAAGGGGCTGCGATTACGTGGTGTCTCTTTGAACCATCCCGGAAAATGTTTCAAAGGGTCACTGAAGTGAAGCAAAGACATCCCCAGACTTCTCGCCAGCGGCTTCTCTCCGCCTCCTCCACCCATCTTTGATTCGCACTTGGAGACGTTCATCTCACCACCCCTCGCGCATGGCCGAAACGTCGCGCGGAGGGGGAACAGCACCTGCTAATGGGGTCTTCTTGGGTCCTACCCACAAACAAGATAAGATAACAAAAACATGTTTGACCCTACGCCCCTCGCGTTCGGAATTCTGAAGCTGTTATTGGCGAATCCACCCAAAAAGCCCAACACATCGCTAATCCCGGAAAACAGATTCTCTGCGACCGCCTCAGCCAATCAGGGTTGTCGATTTGGTGTCTTTGTGGGAGCCCAACAACATTCAATACAAAGTGTTCGTCATAAATCTTGAGCAACAGGCGTGCGTGCTGTGCTTCTGAAGCAAGAACAACATTGCGCGATCACGACAACTTGTAGTGTTGCTGACCTCAATTCGCTACTGAAGAGCTCGAGGTAGACAGACATGGGCCGTGCATCTTGAGTTTCTGTGCAATTTGGCGTTCTTGTTTGCTGAACACAAAGAACATAGCTGCACATATGCTGGGAAGTCTAAGCACTTGCTTGACATATGGTAGACATGTGATGCTAGAAAGGCATTAGAACATGGTAGGAACATACCGCACACGTGCTAAACAAATGCTCGGCACAATGCAAGCTGAAGCCAGCAGGCATTTGCCAGACAAGTGATGGGTGGTTGACACGTGATAGAACACAGTTGCAAACTAGAATAACTTGATAAGCATGCTCGCAACATGGTAGACAAGTGAACATGTAGTCAAGCTAATTTAAACACATTCTACATGCATGCATAAACGCGCTAGACAAATAGGATGACGCAAAGTCTTGCTGGGCATGCTTACACATGCAAGACCTAAAACATAATTGCGTTCACTCTGTGCTGTAAAAGTTGTGCTTCTTAAGCTGGGCTGAAGTCATGCTATCAGCATGTCATGACATGCTCAACGTATGCTGGACTTCGTGGACATGTGCCAGGCGCGTACTATAATATTGCCAAACAGCTGAACATATACTGGAAACAAGCTAAACATTCGACGGAGGACCGCGCTGCGCATGCTAGGTGCAGGGAATGCATAAGACATTTGCTGCCATGCCATTTCGTGATGCAATCAATCAAACACGGTGGCGGCTGTTGCATTGCCTGAGCAAGATGAAAACTTCTCTGGGCGCTAAACAGGGACACAGTCAAAATTATCTTTGAATGAGACACAAACAAATTGTGGGCTATTTAGCACCCAGTCTGATGAAAAGACGGTGTTTTTCCAGGCACAGAAACGCAGGCTCCCTGTGAAGGGGATCGGGTCACTTTGGGGAGCTGCACTGGGAAAAAAAAGAGCTGTGGGGCCCAAGCCCAGAAAACCGACCCTCTCGTGGCCTCTGGAGCAAAGTGCCTATGGATGCCCCACCGCCAAGCCCAGCCGTCTTGCAGGTGTCCAAGCGCAGTAGGCCCTCCTAGATGTGGTCAAAATTTAGGGAGATGGGGCAGGGGAAGTGGAGGCTGTTTGTGCTTTGAGCTGCTTCGAAATTTGGTGGATAGGTGGGGAGGGTTGAATAAAGTGATGCGATTTACTCACTTGGCTGTGGCTCAAAATACCGGTGCCAAACTGGGTTGCCCTGGTAAGTGGAAATATGAACAAAAACCTGTGTAACCCCTCCTGTTTAATTTTGATCCACACCCACTTGTGACTGAAGCTCGCCTAACTCTCTTGCAACGGGTTTTTGACTGACTCGTGCACGACGAGTTGATTTTGAGCATGTGCTCTCATTGCCGATTGCTTTTGCCCTTTTGCCAAAGGATCTTCGGGGGCTAAGTGATAGTCACACCCACTGGAATGAGCCCGCGCAGCACTGATTCACACGACTGCCTCTCTGTTGCAGGGGGTACCTTTTTGTGAGGGGTGGGGGGGCCTAAATGGTACGCACACAAGCTTAGCTGAGCAGCGCAGCACTATCCGCACACCTGCCAAACGATGAGCACACCGGCTCGACTGTGTGTTCACGCAGCACTCCAATAATTTGGATGAACTCCTGCCTGCCTGCAGCACAGCTAAACACCTTCCAAGAACATCTGGCATCCCGTGGACAAGACACATTGGTGAGCCAGTCCTCATACATTCCAAAGTACAACAGCAACCAAAACCACCCAACTGCCCGCACCCCTAAGGGAACACCCTTCCTTTTGCTGAACAGTGATATTGCGTTACCAGCGCGGGGCGGGGTCTGGGTGGTTTCCGGGCGGCCCGGAGGTGTCCCCGCCCTCTGCCTTTCGGTGGCTCGACCTTGGCTTTTAGCGACTTTCACTTCGCTCGCGTTACCCTCTTCGGACTCTCGCGGGGTCGGGCATACACAACTTGTGTTTTGTGCTTGCGTTTCGCAGCGCGTGTACCCATCAAGTGAGCACTCTGCGGACTTTTGGTGGGTCGAGGATTTTTGCTTGGTCGACCACAAAAAACAGTGTTTGTGTTGCGATTTTGGGGCTTGTGCAACTATCAAAAGGCGAGCCCT